TAGAGTAGACTCCTGATTTTCCTTGGCCATGCTATGTTTAAGATGTATGAAATACGTTGAATGCTTCTTTATGCTGTGACAAATCTAATGTGAGACAAACTTCCCAGATGAATATGAATACAGTAGAGGCTGAATGCTGGTGCATGCTTATGGTAAGCCTGTGTTGTCAGAAGAGTCTGAAGAGCTCCTTTTCTCTTTTCTGAGTGGATCAAAGCCTGCTGAATGGCTTTCTGAGCTGTGCTTACTCATATCATTAGGAGGTACAAAGCTTCCTCCTTTGTTAGCTTTTTCCACCTCACTTTGAATGCAAAATATTCTGCTGTTATACTAATTAGGCCAACTGGCTGAGGTTAACAAACACTCAGTTGCTTCTCTTATCATCATCCTTATTTGTGCATTTGACTATTTCACTTGGGGTTTGCCTGTGATGTGAAAGAATTGGATAATTCTGGAGGGCTTTCAGTAGCAATGATGAAATAGTAGAGCCTGAGTCACATTGCAGACAAGCTGTGCTGGCCTTGACCTTCACTGGTCCAGCTTGGCCTCAGACCTGCCTTGTCACCACCACAGGACTCTCTGGAGATCTGTTGGTGGCACTCAGTTGCTGTGTCCTGAGTCTGCCCTGCTCCCCTTGCTCAGGTACAGGGCACTGCCCACCCACCCGCTGTGAGCAGTCCTAAATGGTGCTGTAGAAGGGGTGTGGACGTGTGAGCCTTAACCATCCAGCTGACCATTGGTCACGTGCACCAGCAGGGAAGAATTGGTGCTACCCACAAGCAGAACGGTACTTATAATGCTCAGGTCATGCTGCTGGAAATGCAGTATTTACCCATCCTCTCTAAGCTACGTGCAGAGTTGCAGTACGTAGGTCGATGTGCCAAATTTCCCTCTTGGCTTTCCCCAGCCCTGGCTCATGGCTGTGGTTGGACTGAAGCTGTTTGCTATAACAAAAATGGGAATTTTTGCTGACTTGCACTCTCCCAGAGATCTGTCACTCCCTGCACGTTTAACCTGAGGTCGCTTGGCCAACAATGAGCAGATTTAAAAAACCAAACAACAAAAGCAGCATAGAGAGCTCTTTCAGGATTTTGGTTCCCCATCAGACAACAGTTGTGTTTGAAAAAGAAGATTAGGGATAACATTCACTGGTGAAAGCATGGCAGAACCTGGTTTCTCCCCTGCCCCAAAGAGCATCCTAACTAGCTGATGGGAGAATTCCCCTGTTGAAAGCTGAGGCTTTTAGATCTGTGCATTTTCAGACAAAATTGAAAAGTTTTTTGATTTTGTATCTGTTGAACTCCCAGCCATGAAAAAAAAAAATATCTGAAACATAATGATAAGTTTTCTCTTTTTAGTGAAAGGTTGGGATACTGAGGATCAGATCAGAAAGTGAATGGAAATGAGTGCTGCTGGTTAGGTGTTGTTATGATCCATGCTTTGTGAAGATGAAAATCAAGTAGAAGAAAATGAGTTAGATTTTCAGGCACCAGGACATGACAGCATCTATAAAAACACAAGCAGAATATGAAGATGTGTAAAAGCTGAACTGAAAAGAAATGACTCCTTCCAGCACTTGAAAGGATATTATGATTAGGAGGAGGAAGAACGACTTTTCACATGGTCTGATAGAGATAGGACAAGGGGGAGTGGCTTTAAGCTAAGAAAGGGGAGATTGAGGTTAGATGTCAGGAGTAAATTCTTTCTTCAGATGGCAGTGAGGCACAGGCTGCCAGGGAGGCTGTGGATGCCCATCCCTGAAGGGTTGGATGCCCCTTCAAAGCCAGGCTGGATGGGGCCTGAGCAGCCTGAGCTGGTGGGGGCAACCCTGCCCACAGCAAGGGGGCTGGGACAGGCTGGGGCTGAAAGGTCCCTTCCAACCCAAACCACTTTATCATTCCGTGACTGGTGGACATCTTCAGGAAATGACTGAACTCCCTCTCTTCATTATTAGTTCTGGCAAATTTAGGACTTTTTAAATAGTTTCAGAGGAATGCATGATGATGTTCATCTTCACTCTTCCCTGTGACTTCCATAGTGCTTGCCAAAATGCTCTGTGATTCTTGGATATGACTTGTTAATTAATGGAAAGACAGTGGGTTGTGATTAGAATGTGTTTTGGCTTTTTTTTTTTTTTTTCCTGGGGAAGGTAATTATGATAAGGGCAGACTTAGTATTAAATCGTATTAAACCTGTTTTGTTCAGGGATTTAAAACTTTATACCTTTCTCAGAAAAAGGTATAAAGTGGCCACATTGCCTCAGGCAAATGCTCTGGTTGGAAAGGGAGATGGCTGGACCAGTGAAGCTCAGAGGATGGCTGAAGATGTTTCTATCCCAGCAGTGATGCTGTAAAATTACCACCTTGGAGATTAGAGCACTTTCTCCTGCCAGTCAGGGAGAAGGGTTAATTCACACTGGTGACCTTGATGGGATTGAGCCTTAGGGCTCACTGATTCTCTCCTTCAGTGCTGCAGCATCCAAGCTGTTAATCCCATTTTTCAGCAGAAGATTAACATCTGCAGCTCATTTCTCTTCTGATTTTCCTTGGCTCTTGCCACATCAGTTATGATGAGTGGTTTTGTTGAACAAAATCACCCTCTCATTCTGTCTCTCTCTTTCCCCTAGCACTGGAGCATTCAGGAACCCCTGCGCTGCATTGGGGTTTTTGTTTTCTTTCTTTGTTTTAATCTCCACAGACCACCTCTCTCCCAGGGTTGGTGAATGGAAAGCTTGTCCTGTGTCTGGAAAGATGTAACAGCTGAGCTGAGCCCCTACTTATTTTACCTATGCCCTATGGAGAGCTCTTCCCCGTGGGAGGAAAGGAGATGTGGCACTGAAGGTTTATGTTGGTCCGTTTCACAGAACAGCAAAAAAAGGAAAGTCTCTTTACTATCAAGGGCAAAGTCTGGATGTGTGACAGCCTCTCTTAACTCTTATCAGCCTAAATGTTTCCCTATGCATTTATCTACAACTGCGTTCCTGGAGCTATTTCCATGAAGGGCCAAGAAGGCATGGGACTTCTCTCTCTGCCACCCCCTCTCACTTGGAGCCAGAGGCTGCTGAGGAAAGGAGGATTCATTTAACAGGAGGAATTACGAGCGGATAATGTAATTGAAAGCCAGCTCTTGGAGCATTCACGGTTGCTCGGTGCCAGTGTGACAGGTCTCATGGCAGCCCTGCTTGACAAAACATTGCCTTGCAAAACGGTGATGAGCTTGACCCACTTCTGAGCAGGGTCAGACCTGCACTTGATCCTCAGGTGCCGATTATCTGTCTGGAGGGCTTTGCATGTATGAGAGGCTATATGTGAGAAATCTCTGGTGGGCTTAAAAAAACGAAAATAAAAATCACAGTATTGCCTTCTGCTGTGACACAAGGAGAGGGCTGTTTCCCTGTGCCCCAAGTTCTCTTTGTCCTCCCCAATTCCTTCCTGCTGCAGGGTCCCTCAAGGCTTCTAACATCCTGCTGAGAGCCTGTGGCCTCTCTCCGTGTCTGTGCTCCTGTTCAGCAGCTCCTGTTCAGCTCTATGCCAGTTCAGATGCTTTCTGGGTCACTCTTTATCTCCTAGGGTGAGATGGGCAGCACTGCAAACGTGGTAATATTCTTTGCGCTGCACTCTACACTTACCTGCTGGTGGCTTTGCTGTGCCATGTTGCTCTTCTCTGTCGTGGGGGCCAAGGCTACTGTTCTGACATAGTAGGTTATGCTGCTGGCTTTGGAGTGAAACACAGTTCTCATCCCAAGCGATCTGTGCGTGCACAGGACCTGGAAGCCAATTGAGGAGAGCAGAGCAGGCTCCAGTGAGCACCCAGTGAGGGCAGGCTATGATTGAGTCAGTTCATGCTGCACGCTTCTGCCTTTTCAGATCGTAGAGCATCAGCTGTGGTCAGTGAGGGCTTCTTGCTCAACCAGTGAGCTGAGTTTAATCAGTTCCACGAGATTCTGGGTGCCCAGGTTATCTTTTTATGTAATGAGCTGTTTTCATGTTAGGTTAAATTTCCTTGGCTGTTGCTGTGCTGCTTGCCTTGAAGCAGCTGTTGGAGAAAAAAGCACAGTTAAAGCGGTCTGAACTCAACTGTCTTCTGACAGTTCTGAGGAAATGAGAATTGTATTTTGTGTTTTCTTTGGAAATACTATGAGGGATGAGCTCAGCATTTTGATAGACAAGAAAACAGGGGCAACGGAGCTGGCTGCTGTCAGGGAGCACCCAGCCAGTAAAAGATGCTCACTTGCATCTGCAGGGCTACCCACGGCGTAATGCCAGCAAGTCACAGCAGAGCGATGCCGGTCCTTGTTGCCGTGTGTGATGGGTCAGGGAGAGCCAGTGGAGCAGTCATCTATCACAAGCACCTTCCTGAGCCTTGTTTGTAGTTTCATGATGAATATCGTATCTCATATGTTTAAGATTCTGCGTAAAGGTGATACGAACTGTTTGCTTTTTGAGTCAGCTTGTATGATGGGGAGAGCTGTTCAGTGAGCAAGAAGGGAAACGTCTGGTGTAGAGCTAAGACATGAAGAAAATGCAGTACTGTGTGTTGTATGAAAAGGAAAATCAAGGCACCCGGTCATGAAATGTATCCTGTTCCCAGCTGGAATAGGTTGGCTTTTCCAGCTTCATTATAACTTAGGGCCGTGCTCATTCAGTCCTGCAGTGTTGGAGGGCTGCACCCCTAAAGCCTCTGAGGGGTTTCGCTCCCGGGAAGCGCTTTGCCTTCAGCTGAGTAGCGCAAATCCCCTCGTTCCACGTCTGACCCGAGAGCAAACAGCGGGCACGGGCGCAAGCGGGTTGCGATGAGGGAGTGGGAGAGGAAGGAGGGAAAAACCACGGCGGGCTCCCGCAGCCCTCGCCGGGCGGCCCGTCCCGCCCCCGCCTCCTCCTCCGCCCCGCGCGGGGGGATTAGGGCCGGCTCTCCCCTCCATAAAGCGGCCGCCCGGCCGGCCCTGCCCATCCCGTCGCAGGGCGCCATGCAGGCAGTGCCCCGGCGCGGCGGTTCTCTGGAGGGGGCGCCGTGCCCGCGGGAGGCCGGCGAGCAGGTGAGCTGCGCGGGGCGGGCGGGCCGTGCTGCCCTGGGACGGAGGTCCGAGCGGGGCCGGGGGCGGCCCTTGCTTCTGGAGGAGACGGGGGAGAGGCAGACGCGTCGGCACGGGTCGGCGGTACGGCACGTGGAGGAAAAAAATGAAACGGGCAACAAAAAACAGCTGAGCAAAGGCTTGGATCTCTTGTCAGAACAAAACTCCTGCGAAGATCTTCGGTGGGGCTGAAAAACGCGCCTGTAAGGTGATGCTGAGTTGCAGCCACCTGTAGGGTCACATGTCTTCATCCTTCCCTGCTAGGAAGGGTGTGAGGAGTGCAGCGAGAAAGCAGCCAGCTGCGTAAGGAGTACGGGTAATGGCAATCTGTGACAAATACCCGTTTAAAAGGTGTTCTGCTGTTCAGCTTTCAGATCTGAAATGTACTTTCCTTTAGACAGGTGCTTTTGGGTAATTTTAAATGTTGAATACCTACCGATACAAAGAACTGAGCCGCAGCACGTAATGCTAAGTATCCATCCTATGGGGAGTGATGTTTTCCTGGGGAGGAAAGGGAAGAGATTGCTATGGGCTTCAGGAGGAGCAGTTTTTATCCAGAAAGCACTTAATAGCTTTTTGAACTTGAAAGGCCCCCTTTGTGTGCTTTCATGAAGGCAAGTCATGTTGATGCCAGGTCAGTTAATATAGCACAATAATGATTCCTCACCACCATACCCTCCTAAGGGCTGGCAAGTGACGGCACACGAAGGCAGGGTGTCAGGCATGATTAGAGCTCAGTTACTGATAGGGAATATAGTGAAACTGGAGGAGTTGCTTTTGCGTTCGCATTTGCTCTGGTCCTGCACCAACATGGTTGCTGCATTAATGCAGACCTGTTAGCAGTCCGTTCTTGTACTAAAAGCCAAAGATTAATGCTGGTTTAGGGTTAAAGGTGCAAATGATGTGCATCTGGCATGGCAGGCATCTGAATTTCTCTTCTGCAATTTGTTCAAATTTATGTTAGAGGTCACTGGTAGAATTTAGGGTAAGGATACTCTGCATGGTGGTGTGTTTTATTTGTTTGCCTCTTAGAAATGTTGCTTAATAAATGATGTCACCTGACCCTAAGCACAAAGTTAAACTACTAAAATATAAAATAAGAACACACGTTTTCAGTACATGTGGTTTGTCCCAGCTGTGCACCTTGTAACGTTACCTGCAGCTATACTAGATCTCATGAGCTGAAGGCAGTGATCCTGAGTGTGGAATCAAACCACCCTGCTTTTTATAAAATTTATATATATTCATATTAAATATATGAATATTTATAAAATATTCATGTCGAATAATTAGCCCCATGGTTTATGCCTTCAAAATCCACTGTGTATTTATGATGGGCACTTCATTGCTTCTACAGCAGCATCATCCAAGAGGGGTTAGGTTTAAACAAAGAGCAGTGTCTGCACTTGGGCAAAGCTAATAACCCATGTATTGTGGGGTTTTGGTTTTTTCTCTTCTGCCTGGAGTAGCCCTGCTCAGCGCCTATTCCTTGTGATTCAGATCCTTGTTTGTTTACATGTAGCTAAGTAAGTCCAACTACATGATGATTGAAGATAATAAAGAGAACAAAGACCACGTGCCTGAAAGGGGAAGAACTGCCATCATTTTTTCCTTGAAGAATGAAGTCGGAGGCCTTGTTAAAGCTCTAAAACTCTTTCAGGTATGCAATAATTATATTTCTATAACGGATCTACTTTTTGTTTATTATTTTAAAGGTAGGTTTGGCACACAGTGGAATTAATTACATCCGTTTATTAAGGATGTGATTCCTAACGTGCCTCCCACTTTGCACCCAAAATTATCCACAAACGTACACTTATGCCTCAGAAGTTGGATGCTGGCTTAATGTCTTAAAAACTCTTCTGCACTTACAAAAAATTGGAACAGATTCCTCTTGTTCCTTCACGAAAAAGGATTGCACGCATTGTTTCTGCTGCATATAAGAAGTGGACGTGCTGATGATACACACCTGGGGTGCTGATGAGCTGCCTGCAGTGCTGCTGTCACTCTGCCTGGCTGGACTGAAGGTGGCAGAGGTAGTGCAGCAGTCCCACTGTGCTCCTTTCCTTGCTGTCCTGCAGGGAATGTGGCACTGTCACTGTGCTGTCATTTGGCCCTGCCTGTCTGAGCCTGGGGGTTGCTGCATGATCCTGGTGTAAGACGTATGATTAAATCGTTTTTTAATAAAAGAAAAGTGAAGTTCATGTCTGGAAAATGACTGCTTTAAAATCCTTTGCTTGTGAGATAATTCCATGGCAATGTGATTGGCATTATTGTGGATTTCCCTAGACCAAGTCACTGATCAGCTTCCTATGGGCAGGATGAAAGAAAAAAGGTCTGTGAAATTAAACATCCTTAGCGTGTTTCTCTTCAATGAAATGAAACCAAAATAACTCAAAGTCTTTCATTTTCTTTCGAATAGGTGGCTTTTTAAAAATCAGTTTCACCACTAGCAAAAGCCAGGCTACTACCAGGAGAGCCAATTAACTAAAATACCTTCACGTAGATGGTGAATATGCTGTGTCAGCAGAATACTTTTGTTTTTAAAGAATGAAATTTAGATTTTAGTCGTTCTGCTTGAAAACATCACCTCTTACAAAACAGGAAAAGCATGTGAACCTGGTGCACATCGAGTCACGGAAATCCAAGAGACGAAATTCAGAGTTTGAAATCTTTGTTGACTGTGACAGTAATAGAGAACAATTGAATGAGATCTTCCAGCTCCTCAAATCCCACGTCAGCATCGTCTCTATGAACCCAGCAGAACATTTCAATGTGCAGGAAGATGGTAAGCACAGGGGGCAGCGCTGGTAAAGAGAAGGCATTACTGCTCTTCTCAGTGTGCTAATTTGAAACCTTTTTACTTTGTCTGTATGTGCACATGCATAGTGCTATGGGTAGCTGTCAGGTTTGTATTTCTGTGCCATCGCTGCATGGTTTGGTTGGCACGAGCAGGGCTTTGTTGCCTGGTGTCTTCTAGAAGAGCTGGCTGTTTGGCCACCTGCTCTCCTGGCTTTTCTCAGCACAGTATAACTGCTGTAAGTGGGGGTCCCTGCACCAGCAGAGACTGATGCAGGCCACTGTGATGTTGCCACATTCAGGCGGAGTCTGACTGAGGGCTGGGCTGGTGCTCCATGACATCAGAGGTGGCGTACTGATATACACCAGTTAAATTCAGGTACTGGACGGTGTGGGAGATGGGTTCTGCCATTTCCTCATGCAGCTCTTGACTTAAAGACTTTTTTTAAAACATTTTTCATAATATGTGGTTGCTTATATCAGTGTGAAAGAGAAGGGGAGCTTCTCCAAAGTAATTGGAGATGCTTCAAATCTTGTTCATATTTGCTCTTAGACGATGAAGTGCTCAGAACTCGGGGCAGCACAAAATCAGTGTCATATTTTTCTCAGCCATCATGCTTGGCACAGGCTAGTAGGCATGGAAAGGGAAGATCTGGTGTCTGCTGGGTAAAAGTTTCTTATTCTAGCTCTAGGAAAGGAGAATCTCAATCTGAACAATTTCCCCATCCTTACTAAGGAAACTGAGGAGCATTAGGAGAGAAAAAAATCCTGTGGTAGTTACAGTGTATTAGCAGCCGTGCCAAGAGCTTGTTAAAAGCTTTTTGATTAAAAAACAAAACAACACCAAAAATCGCCTCCAAAGAAATGAACCCCCAAAATCCTCAGTAGTGAAATTAATTATGCGTCTCTCTGAGGCTACATGGCTGAAGCTGCCTCCTTCTTTTCCTCTTCCCTCTGTAAAGCCTGATGTTTCTGGAGCACATAAGCACAGAGCAGCGTTTCTTGCCAGTGAAGCAGGATGGGAGGACTCTAACCTTCTCCACAATGTCCAAGGAAAATCAGTTCTCTTACTCCTTTACGTGCTTTGTGCCTTGGAAGGCTGTGCACAAGGAGGCCTTTGCTCCGTGGCAGCCATTAGCTGCTGCTCTAACATTAATACTAACAACAGTCAGGGCCACTGAGAACCCATATTAACTGTTTCCTCCCCAAATCTTCTGATTTGGAGTGTGCTGTGCAGTCTGTGGGCAAACTGGCAGTGACAGAGGAGGAAGTATGAACTGGAGGCTGGTGCCAGATAGGCAGCAGGCTCCCTTGTCCTGTTTGTAACCCTTTTAATTTATAGATTTTGCCTGTAACCGCCATAGCCAGACTTGAAAGTAGCATTTCCTCCGTCAGCACGCTTGGCATTATTAATAACCTTGTGGATTCCATGCGTTCCGTAGAGATGGAGAACATTCCCTGGTATCCAAAGAAGATCTCAGATTTGGATAAGTGTGCAAACCGAGTGCTGATGTACGGGTCCGATTTGGATGCTGACCATCCAGTAAGTATCTCACCCCTTCCATGCACAACGCTCAGTGAAAAGTACATTGTGGAACTTGCTTTTAAAACATGAAGCGTTTCCTCCTCTCTCTTGTTCCCTCCGCAGTGTCTCTGGGGGTCTAAGAAACTTCTCATGGGGGTTTCATGTCTTTTCCTAGGTCAGGCAAGGCTGATACTGAATGTGGCTCCTATGCCTTTCTGTGAAGCTTGCTCATGTAGAGGACTGGGGCTGGGCCCTGAGCGGTCACATAAATACAAAAACAAAATGCTGTTGTGAGACAGGCTTGGTTTGTCCTCTCTATTTCTTCCTTACTACAGGTGGAGCAAACTAATTAGAATTTGCACAGTACAAATGGACAATTTCTTTCGTAATTTGAAACAAGCAAGAAAGTGACCAAGTTTGTGTATATACTAACGTGACTAAAAGGAGCCTTGTCTTCTGAATATATACTGCATGCATAAAACCACTGATGTTTGCTTTGAATTGACATATTTGCTTATTTTACAGTTAATAAACACTTCGATCTACAGCTATGAGGTTCCTCTCCATCTTATATAGTATACTTTAATATTTACCACTGAAGAACTTTCAAGTATCTTGCTTTAAATTAACTTATATACTACAGCTTGAAAACCCATTTAACTTTGCTTTTTCTTTCCTCCTCACTCTCCCCAGGGTTTCAAAGACAATGTCTATCGTAAGAGGCGAAAGTATTTTGCAGACTTGGCTATGAACTACAAGCAGTAAGTTCAACTTCTTCCAGCGAAAGCCATCTAGGTGCTTTGAAATAGCAACAGAGTGGACTGCTACATGTTCCCTGGGCTCAGATCTCACTGAGATATACTTGTCTCAGGAATCAGAGCTAGAAGGATAAAGTGAAGGGAGATTTAATGCAAGATTTAAAGGTTGATCTAGGTAATGCAAGATTAAAAGGTAGATCTAGGCCACCTTACAGCTTCCTGGGTCTCTAGTCAGTCTGAGAATCAGCTCATGGCTGCATGGGCATTGTGGTATCTGTGGCAGCACTAATCCCCAAACGGGCAGCAATGTCAGCATGGGCTTCCTGCAGTGGGGTGTGTTAAGGCACTGGGTTCTCTCCCCCCTTTTCTGGAAATGGGTGCAGCAAAGGAAGGGAGTGGGCAGCACATCTACACAGCTGTCTGTCCAGGACATGCATACGCTGCCAGGGCTGATCTCCTTTGCAAAGGAGAGGAAGGGGAGGAAAAGTTGCTAGACAGCCCATTGACCACTGAGTTATAAACTCTCTGGGCAAATGTTAATACTTGAGTTTTATTTCCTGGTTTAGAATAGAACATGCGATGCATAGATAAGAATTCTGTGAAATGGAATTCAAAGAGCTTCTGTCTTTAGAGATTCTGCTTGGGGGAGGGAGCTCTTAAAGCTGGAGGAGTTTCATAGCCCAACGCTAAACATTTTTTTCTGAATGTGTTTTTTGCATTAGTGTTGCCTGTGTGAATATTGACACCAAATTCCTCAACTGGGAATGACTTAGAAATGGCAGATATCTAGAGCTTCATGGCTCTCTGTGTTCATGCAGCTGGCCACCACAGCATGCAGGCAGTTACTGCAGATGTGTTGTTAACAGAGCTTTTTTTGGGAAAGCAGCAGCCGTGCTGGTTATCTAGCTGGCAGTGGAGGCAATGTATGACACTCCAGTTGCTTTCAGCAGCCTTCAAATCACAGCCTTGCTCTAATCTACTTTAATCAAGATCCTGAGGGTTGATTAGGATGGACCACAGTCGATATGTTCAGGCAGATACTTGTCTCCTCTGCACGGCAGCATGATTTTTACCTAACATGCATGTTTAGTTTCTTCCACTTATTGTGCTGCTAATTTAGGGGATTATCTTTTCCTAAAATAAATAAAAAAGATAGTGGAAAGTTACTGTATACAGACAGAGACGTACTACAAGGAAGAAGATGTGTTCCCAGCTCCCAAAACAAAAGATTTTGCAGTTACTGTTTGAACACTTAAGAAACTATTTACACAACTGAAGCTTTCAGACCCCCATGAAATCAATGCAAGGATTGCTATCTGTTGATTTAGGTGGAAGAGTGAGCAGGCCTAAAAGTTCTCCAGGGCACAGACCTGATCTTACCCACGTACTTGACAGTGTAATGAAATCTTAAGCTTGACCAGCTGTCCCGGCCATATGAATGTTGAACAATAATAGTAAGTAAATGAGTCATCCTTATAAGCCATTTACCAAGGAATGTCCCTTTGTCCTCATCTCCTTGTAGTGGTGACCCAATTCCCAAGATTGAATTCACAGAGGAGGAGATCAAGACTTGGGGGACTGTGTACCGAGAGCTTAACAAGCTTTACCCAACTCATGCCTGCAGAGAGTACCTTAAAAACTTGCCGTTGCTCACCAAATACTGTGGGTACAGGGAAGACAATATCCCCCAGCTGGAAGATGTGTCCCGGTTCCTGAAAGGTAGGGTATTAGTTTTCTCTCACATGGAGAAGAACTAAAGTCCATTGCAAATCACACTGTTACTATGTGGGCACAAAAAAAAAGATTCTTGGTTTTGTCTGGGAAACCTAAAAGCAGAATGTTTGCTTGTTTTCATTCTGGTCATTTAAGAGGCTTTTTGGCCTCTCTGTTTTTAATGTATTATGTCCTGAATATATGCAGTGATGGTTTGGGGGGCCATGCTAACTCTAAAAAGACTTAGGACTGGTTAAAGTGATACCTAACTGTATTCTGTTGGTTGTAGGCATGAAATCTTAAGAAATCCACCTACGCAGAGGTAGGGACACTTCTACTGAATGTTGGCCATCCTCAAGATTAGGCCTAAATTTTCTAGTCATGCCTATTTTTTCTCATGTGCTCTTAAGCCAAAGTAGTGCTGTGGATCTTACCCCATTTGTAGCAGAGATGGGAACATTATGGACTTCTACTGTAAACTAACATATATTTTCTCCACTTCTTTTTAGAGCGCACAGGTTTCACCATTCGCCCTGTTGCTGGGTATCTGTCACCCAGAGACTTCTTGGCAGGATTAGCATTCAGAGTTTTTCACTGCACTCAGTATGTTAGACACAGCTCGGACCCTCTCTACACACCAGAGCCGTGAGTAGAATGAAACGTGTGTTTCTGAGTATTGCTACCCAATACCAAGCTACTTAAAATCTGTTCAAGAATACCAGCAAGAAAACTTATTTTCAAAGGTGCTGAAGACTTCAGTCTTCGCACTGAATGTAGTGATGTTTTAGCATACTCAAGTGCCACCTTCATAAGCACGGGATTTTCAGAAGTAGAGCATGTAATTGGAGGACTCTTGCAGTTGTCATCGTGGGCAGTTTGAAGTTCAGTTGGAACTGTGTTCTTAATATTAGACACCTTCATCTGCAAACTGGAGCAGCTGTACTTTTGTAGAAATGGTGTGATGTGCTTTTAGCTAAACCTGATTTGATACTTCTTTGTATTTGGGATATTGTTCAGATAATGAAGTTTCACACAAGACGCTGTTTAGTGGTGCTACTTTTTCTCTCCATCACAAGGAAAGATGAGTTTTCTTTTTTTTTTTTTCCCCTCTTTTCCAGTGATACCTGCCATGAGCTCCTAGGCCATGTCCCTCTTTTGGCTGAACCCAGTTTTGCTCAGTTCTCCCAGGAAATTGGTCTTGCATCACTTGGGGCATCAGATGAGGCTGTCCAAAAACTGGCAACAGTGAGTGTTTCAGTGCCCAGTGATCCCACTTAAAGCTTGGCGCTTCATTCAGCTGATCCCTCTAGCTCTAATTAATTTGGGGATTAATTTCAACATTAGCTGCAGCAGCTGCTAGACTTGACTCTTAGCTTTAGAGCATAGAACAAGTTTCCATGCTAGGAAAAAAATACATTTTAAGAAAGATGTGACAGGTATTTTTCTTACTTCACTTAGGTCAAGTAAGTATGCAACTTCTAGGGGTAGATAACTTCTTCCAGCTTGAAATTCTGTGGTCTGTTTCCTCCAGAAAATATCTTTCTACTTCTGAGAACATAGATTAGATATAAAAACATTGAACTGTTACTTCAGTGTGTAAAATGAATTGAAATGTTGTGTTTTCACTGAATGTGAAACTAGCACTCGGTACATTTCAGCCAAGAAATTCAAATAAATAATGCAAACTCATCTTAGTTCTGGGATAACAGTTTCTTGATACATTGACAGAAATACTGAAAGGTGAAAACTTTACATGAAAAATAATTGATTCCAGTTACAAAAGAACTGCCAGTCATAGCTAGTGGTAAAGCTTCTGCTACCTTTAGTGAGACCAGAAGTAAAGCATCTAAGAAAATGGCATTCCTTGCCACATACCTGCAGGAGTCCTGAACATCAGGAAACTGACCATCTTTAACATTTTAGACCACTAAGGAACAACCTGTATTGGATTGATGCTTTCAATTGTTGAGGTCCTGTCTATCTAATGTTTCTTTTAAGCCGAATCTCTCAGGTCATTACAGTGCTTCTCAAAACAGATTAAATTGCCACATTTCTACTGGGATGAGCAGCTTCTGTCCCAGCTATGTCATCAGACTTTCTTATTAGAAACATATAATCCTGTGGTTCTTCTCTCTTCAATTTAGGTTCCCTTCGCTTTAGATATCTGAGAACGATAACCAAGTAATGACTTGCAGGTGTTTGATACTTCCTGAGAGTAGAAGGGCCTCCATCCAGTTCACCACAAAACCTTTGCTGAAGGATAAATTTATTTTACTCCCTTCTCTGTTTCAGTGCTACTTTTTCACTGTAGAGTTTGGCCTGTGCAAGCAAGAGGGGCAGCTAAGAGTTTATGGGGCTGGCTTGCTCTCTTCTATTAGTGAGCTCAAGGTAAGAATATCCACTGCTTACTTCCCTCTTTACTTGGCTCATACTTGAGTATTTTTGTCGCTGTTCTGCCATGTTTATTTATCAGATATAATTCTTAAAAATATTTATTCTGAAAATACCTACTGTGGGGATGACTTCTAGGTGAGTTCACTGGGGTTAGTCACAGGGCAGTGTGCTTTTGGGTATGTGCTGAGCAGCTCCTGTGTCCTTCTGAGGAAGCAGAATGGATGATTGATGTATGTTCAGTTCCAAGTAACCTGTTTTCAGAAAAAGACTCCACTGTTTTAACCAGATTCTGAAAATATTGTTCTTGTTTAAAAGCAGCTTTGACCCGTATTGGCAGAACACAATCCTTTAGAGATAATGTTTGTTATGCTTAAGCCATTGTTCATCTGCAGACATGTTTTAAGAGGCAATGCACTAAATATGGTCTCACCTCATCTTTTTTTTAATTCACTTTTTAATCTGTATCATCTTCCTTGTGGATTCTTTCGGTGGCGATATTCCTCTGGCACGTGATAACACATGATGTGTTACTTAGCACTCGCTCTCTGGCAGTGCCAAAGTCAAGCCTTTTGATCCAAAGATCACCTGCAAGCAAGAATGCCTCATTACAACTTTCCAGGAGGTTTACTTTGTTTCTGAAAGCTTTGAAGAAGCAAAGGAGAAGATGAGGTATGCTTTTTCTTGACTTCCTGTGTTTCTCAGAGGCAGCACCAGATCCTTTCATTCTTATCACATTACACTCTTGGCTGGGTAAGGAGCTGGCTGGAGGGCCGGGCACAGAGAGTGGTGGTGAATGGAGTCAAATCCAGCTGGCGACCAGTCGTGAGTGGTGTTCCCCAGGGGTCGGTGCTGGGGCCTGTCCTCTTCAATATCTTTATTGATGACCTGGATGAGGGCATCGAGTGCACCCTCAGTAAATTCGCAGATGACACCAAATTGGCTGGAAGTGTGGATCTGCCTGGGGGTAGCGAGGCCATACAGAGGGATCTGGACAGGCTGGAGAGCTGGGCTGGAGCCAATGGGATGAGTTTCAACAAGGCCAAATGCCGGGTCCTGCACTTCGGCCACAACAACCCCAGGCGACGCTACAGGCTTGGGGCGGTGTGGCTGGAGGACTGCGTAGAGGAAATGGACCTGAGGGTATTGATTGATGCTCGGCTGAACATGAGCCGACAGTGTGCCCAGGTGGCCAAGAAGGCCAATGGCATCCTGGCTTGCATCAGAAACAGTGTTGCAAGCAGGAGCAGAGAAGTGATTGTTCCCCTATATTCAGCACCCGTGAGGACGCACCTTGAGTACTGTGTCCAGTTTTGGGCCCCTCACTGCAAGAAAGATATTGAGGCCCTGGAACGTGTTCAAAGGAGGGCAACAAAGCTGGTGAGGGGTCTGGAACACAGGCCATATGAGGAGAGGCTGAAGGAGCTGGGAATGTTCAGCCTGGAGAAGAGGAGGCTCAGGGGAGACCTTATTGCTCTCTATAACTTCCTGAAGGGAGGTTGTAGTGAGCTGGGGGTCGGCCTCTTCTCTCGTGTCATTAGTGATAGGACCAGAGGGAATGGTTTCAAGCTACGGCAGGGGAGATTCAGGCTGGACATGAGGAAGTATTACTTTTCAGAAAGGGTGGTCAGGCACTGGAATGGACTGCCCAGGGAGGTGGTGGAGTCACCGACCCTGGGGGTGTTCAAGGAAAGGCTGGATGTTGTGTTGAGGGACATGGTTTAGTGGGAGCTATTGGGAATAGGTGAACGGTTGGACTGGGTGATCTTTTAGGTCTTTTCCAACCTTGGTGATTCTATGATTATCACAATTTTATAATAACCTTTTATGGGGCTGGAAAGCTGAGTTTAATATTTAATTGGTCTCCCATGTACTGGATGGGAGAGATGATGAACTTCGTAGTAATTATAATGATCATTAAGAAAGTAAGTGATTTGAAAAGTCATTACTGATACTGACTGCACACAGAGGATACATTTGTCTTCTGGTTAAACTTCCTCTTTATTTATTTATTTTTTTGCTTTAATAGAGAGTTTGCAAAAACCATCAAACGTCCATTTGGCGTGAAGTACAATCCATATACTCAAAGCGTGCAGATCCTGAAAGACACCAAGAGCATTGCCAGTGTGGTGAACGAGCTGCGTCATGAGCTGGACATTGTCAGCGATGCCCTCAGCAAGATGGGCAAGCAGCTGGAAGTTTAACGTTCCCATCATTCACGTTGTGCGCTCAGCAACTCTTTCTTTTCCCCACTTGTCTCTTTCTAGGCACGTAACATCTTGTATGCAGAACTTTCCTTTACTAATGGAAGAGTGAATAGCCCGTAAAGATAATCACTTTAACTCACTTTAACTTATTTTTCTGTTTAAAGTCCCTTACAGAATGTATTTCCTTCACCTCCATTCCCTGCGGATAAAGTCCTGGTGTTGCCTTGGAGAAGCTAGCAGAGGAAGAGAGAAATCACTAGGCTGGAGCAAAACTGTGGTCTGTGGATCAGGGCTAGGATCAGATGCTTCAGAGAGTGGCTCATGAGGCAATTGTAGAACAATTTGGCACAGGGAAATGTCTTTCTGAGCTAGTAGCCTATGCTGCTAATTTTGCAGTAGTGTAGACCTCATAACATAGAAGCTATAGTAATCAGTGCTTCTTTGTGCTATTAAGTTTAAATATTCCGGTTCAGAACTTGAATGATTACAGCTCAGGTACCGGGATACAAATATCTGGAAGTTTGTTATGACAAAATGGAGGGGTCATATCTCCCTTTCATAGGGATCATTCTTGCTCCCAAAGAGTTGCAGCTGTACTGAGTGGCCTGTTTCTAGTAAAACACAGAGGTACAGAGCTATAATGTGAAAGCCTAACTGATTATTTCAGGAGATTTTTCTGTCACCTCAAAGAGTTTGGAGTTTTGTTGCTGTCTATGGTGTTACACCTGAGGGAAGACACTAAGGAAATACCATTTGCCTTTTCCCTCGCTGAATAAATGTAGCCAGGATTATAGCAAGCCATCAGGTTCTGACTTAGCACAAAGCCTAAAACCATTTCAGCATTACAGTCCTATATCCAAAGTAGTTTCACAGGACTAAGAGAAGCCCAGTGCTAAAGTAACACCAGAATTTAAAATGAGGGCCAAAGTTTGTAGTCTCGTAGACATCCCATTGATTGCTTTATTAACCTTGCAAACTGCATGAAGATAAATTTAGCTTCTTCCTTGCTAGGCCTGAACACTTGTATTCCCCATCAAGCAAATAAGTGAAAGGTAGAAAAATTTGATGGAAATCTCCATCCCTGGAGGCATTCAAGGCTAGGTTGGATGGGACCCTGGGCATTATAATCTGGTGGGTGGTGACTCTGCAGGGGATTAGAAGTGGGTGGTCTTTAAGGTACCTTCCAACCCAATCCATTCTGTGACTGTGATCTTGTGGCTATAAACACAAATATTTATACTTTCAGCTATGAGATTTTATTCTGAAGAACTCTTTATGAATGTTGGGAAGCGGTGTCCTGCTGAATTGTCTGTATAGCATAGCAGTAAAGTTGCCTGATTTCAGGACTGCATATTTCCAAGCATCCTGTAGAGCTGTATGGAGCTGTGCTGTCTGCTGTTGCTGCCAACCCTGTCTATGAAGTTAATTTATGTATGTAGACGGTGTAATAAATTTGAATTGATGATTTGTGAAGTGCAGGGTATATTTAATAACATGCTAGACCCTGGTTCTCCATATGTGGTTCTTATGAGAAAATCCAGCTTGCAACTGTGAAGGTTGCTGGAAAAATTAACTGGAATCTTAAATACGCTGGTCCAAGTCCTTTGGCAATCGGAAAGGACTTTCAAGAACCTCTGTTCTTGGCCCTCCCCTTGTTTCATATGCCTTCTCATAAGCTGCATCTGCTTTGTAAGCCATCTTTCCAAATACATTCACTATTTAAATCCAGTCTAGATAATTCTCCTATGACTTTATTAATCCACCATTGCTATTATTTTTTTCTAAGAACATTTTGGATGCATGAAAATGTGGTCTACAGCTTACATTACACTTTTAAATAGATGTTAGGAACTTCCTCCTTCTGAAGAAGAAACCTTCTGTTTGAAGTAGTAAGGGAAGATGTATTGTCTGCTTCCGTGCTAACGACGACCATTCAGCTGCATTTTAAAAACAATAAGGTTGTTACGGTGTTGGAATACAGGTCTGTGTTACTTGAAATCCTTGAGCTACACTGTGAGCAGCAGACCTCACACCTGCTGCATTAGCACGGGTACTGCTAGGGAGAAAACAAACAGGAATGGTGTCTTTATTTGCACCGGTGTAACAAAACATGGCAGCGATGTGCTGCCAGCAATGTAGGGCAGGTGCGTTTTTGCGTTGTTAACAACACGTACCTTCAGCTTCATCCATCCAACCCTTCTGGCTAGGTAGAGTATTAACAATTTACATATTTTAAACCGTTGTGGAGGCTTTAAATGTCAACTAAGTAAACGTGTACCATCCTGCTGGAAATGGGTAGAACAGGTAGAATTTTCCTTCACCACTTCAGCAATAAACACAAACCATTCTGACTGAAGCTGCGTGTTTTATACTGCGACAAGGGGTTTTCTGCACCCGTGCCTTCATTCTCTTGCAAACTGCTTCAGTGAGAAGCGATTTGTCTTCTCCCTTCTAAAGGTTTCCTCGTCTTTCCGCTGAGGTCTGCGTGACCGGCCGCGGTGCCCAGCCGGGCTGTCTGGATGCAGGCGGGCTGCTTCGGGCTCCGCGTGAGCAGCACGCAGCCACGACGCCACCAAGCCCTTCCAGACACGGCAGCCCAACTGAAAGCGCTGCCTCTCCGACCGCCTCCGGGCGGCCGTCCGCGCTGAGCCGCGGCCTCGCCCCATCCCGCCCCGCCTCTTCCTCCCCGGCCGCGGCGAGAAGGGCGCGAGCCCCATGGAGGCGGTGCTCCGCGCGTGGGTAGGTGGGCGCGAAGGCTGCGCGCGGCCGTCAGCCCGCCCTGCGGCCGCGAGATGGCGGCGGGAGGAGGGTGAGGGCGGGCGCTGTGCGGCTCCTCCGGTCGGGCTGCGTGCTGCGGGTGTGCCCGGCCTTTGGCACGAGCGGCGTGAGGACGGGCTTTCGAGCCTTCTAGGGCGGGTAAACAGACGGGCTCTAACAGCCGGTGCCCGCTGGTTTGTTGCTTGTGAGGCGGGAGGAGAGCAGCGCGCTGTGCTGCGGGCAACTGCACCCGTTCCGTGCCTCGTCCTGAGGGCGCGCGGAGTCCGCACGTGTCGGACCTTCTGAGGAGAGTTAGGTGTCTGCCACGCCAGCCAGCGCCGAGAGCAGCCCCTGCCTGGGGTCGGGGCAAGTTCACCGCCCTGCCGCGTGTGTAAAAGCGTGCTAGCACGTTCTTGTTTTGTTCGCTGTAAGGTAGAAGAATCACTTAATGATGGATAAGTGCTTCTGCTTTGCTGCTTTATGTTCCCGGACGATGCAGCGTGTCGTTCTCACCTCATTTTGGTGCGTTACGCTGGCGCAAACAGCACCATTAGCACTGAACAGGTGGCTCTCATTTGTAAGGAGGCGTTCAGCCTTGCCAGGTGTTAGCCTGCAGTCGGTCTTAGCAAGCATATTCCTGTATAGAACAGTGATCAATGGGCTGCAAGGGTGGCCTTAGTGGCAGCAGATCTGGGACGGCCCTGCTCTGTAGTTCTGAGCGCCTGTGTGATGGCTGTAAGAGTGAAGATTGTCCTTTGGGGGATTTTTGGGAGCGGGTAGTGTCAGGTTAACCCGTGCCATGTTCCCGATGAACCCAGTGGTGCAGGAGGAGAGCTGCACGCATCTCTTGTTAACTTTTTTTTCCCCATGTTATTTGTCTGTGTGTGTTTGAAGGGTGCAAACAGCTATGGACAACTTGGCCTTGGTCATAAAGAGGATGTGCTGGTACCTCAGACACTGAAAGATGTTTCCTGCAAATGTCAAGACATCAGGAGCATCACTGGAGGAGGAGGACATTCTGCAGTTATCACTGGTAAGATCATTGCTCTTGCAAGGAGTGCATGACTTGAACAGCCAGGAGAAAATGTCTTTCCTTTCTGGTGCGGTGCTGCCACCTATATGCTGCTTCTGTGTCTGAGCAAGTTTCAATTCTTAGTTGTAAAACAGGCTCCCCCTGGGCTTATCAACTTAATACTTCGGAGAAAGTCCTTTGTTTACTCATCTTCTGTGTCTGTTTAATGACCTTGTGAGGCTAATTTCTAAACCCGTTTGACAGAATAGCTTTTAATACAAAACCGTTACTTGTCCTCTGTTGAGAATGAGGAGGGAAGAAGTCAAATGGGATGTTATTCAATCTGAAGAAGGTAAGGAACAGGAAATAGCATCTGGTCTTCAGAAGGTTCTGCTATATGCCATAGTTAACTACGGGAACAAAGGGATATGAGCAGGTGTGAATGGTATGAAATTCTTCTGAAAACAGGTTCTTGTTTTGCTGTATGAGCTGTCCTCCTTGGCTCTTGACATCTGTGCTTACTCAAAGATGTTTCTGGTTCATCAGAAGTAGCTGTCTCTGTGCGATTCAGTGTATTAAATGACACATCATTACTGTCTTTGTTGCAGGATCTCATTGCATATGTGCTTCTCTGTGAATTGAGCGTGATTTTTTTTTTTTTTTTTAATTATTCCAGGTGCTGGAGAACTCTTTGTATGTGGCCATAACAAAGAAGGGCAGTTGGGATTGAATCACACAGAAAATGTGCTCTGTTTTACACTGTGCGCTGCCCTGTCTGGCTTCTGTGTGCAAGAAGTGGCCTGTGGCTGGGATTTTACAATCATACTAGGAGGTAAGCCCATCTTTGCAGGAGTTGGGGGAGTATGGGAGTGTGGAGAGCACGCTGACAGTTCACATTGCTGTTGTTTGTGCACTCACAGGTTTTAAGCTGCTTGAAAGCTATTGTGCGTGAGCTTCAGATCTTAACTGATCATTATGCTGTAAAATCAGAAGTCTGTGGCCTCAGAGACCTGAGAAGGGGAGATGTTAGGTCTTTTTTTTTTTTTTTCCAGTTATTTCACTGTTTTTTTGCCTACTGTAATGTTACAATACTTTGCTTTTACTCAAAGATACCCCGATCACTCTCTAATGCTTTCTTTTGCAGGAGCTGGCCTTGTTCTGTCCTGTGGGTCTAATGCTTTTGGGCAACTAGGAGTTCCTCAAATTTCAGGCCCGTGCTTGATTCCACAAAAGATCGAGGTAAGGATTTAAAAGGAACTGCTCTATAGCTCTGTGCATTCTGTTGCTTACAGCAATGACAAGGTCTGGTGACCTCAGTGAGCTTTTGAGCTTGACTCTTCAACTGTTTTAAAGGAGTCCATCTGATGAAGTAAATTTACTGACAACCAGTGATGGTCTTTGACCCAGAAATGAAATGCTACGGTTGCTTTCTTTTGTTATGTGAGGGAGCTGCCCTCTTACAACAGAAAGTTGTCTTTGTCCTTAGAGCTGAGGATGTTTCATGTAACACATCTTGATAACATCTGCAGAATGTCTGTTCAGGTGTTGTAAAGTGATGCTAAAGCTACCAAAACCACAGAAGTTTACTTCAGCTGCAGTTTTACCTTGAGTGTGTAAGAGACCAGATAGGTTATACGCCTGCAGGCTGTTCCTACCTTTGCTATACCTCATTCAACATTTGTGACTAACAATTTGAAGGGTGGAACATGTAGAACAAAATAGGCCAGCAGTAATCCCCCCTTGGAAAAAAAAAGCCTGTGTCCAAGTTGAACAAAATTAGTTCTGTCAACGAGCTTCCAAGGAAATCGGATGGAGAGTTAGCTAACAGTTTCTCTCTTGTCCACTACCTTCAACTGTAAGTGCTAAAGGCAACAGAGCTGGTGCTGCTCCTGTAGGTTGTGTGGAGATCTGTGGTGATACCTGGAGGTGAGGCACCACTGTGGGTAGGGAGCTCTGAATGTAGCCTCAAACTGTTTGCATTAAAATGCTTTAAGTGGTAAGAACTGAGACTTCCATACCAAAAAAAGCTTCTTTAGTGTTGGCTGTAAGCCTAACAGTGTAAATAAATTTCTCATGGGAATTCTAATTAATCCCTAATTTACACTGTAGCTTCTTACTTGAAGAATGCTAATGAAATGCTTTTACATCCTCTCCGTGTAACACAAGTGAGAGCAGAAAGGACTCTCAGACAGGAACAGTAGCCTCGTGGTCTATGCCAGTCACTGCTCTGTTGTGATTTTTGAATTTTGTGACAGTCTGGTTATTGTAGGGAAGAATTGGTCCTCTAGTGAATAGGGCTTTCCTCACCTGATCCAGGAAGCAACAAGGGTACAGAACATCACTCCAGTGTAGTGCCTCGAAAATGGTGGCAGTGACAGTGTGGACCATTCATTCATCTGAAATATTTTCTTTTGCTTTGTGTCCTTTTAAGTGCTCGGATGGAAGTGAAGCATGGCTGACAAAAGTTAATAGGAACATCTTCTAAAAACAAACAGTAATACATTGGTGTGCATTGTGATGTGCAGGCTGGAATCGAGAGCTATTTTCACTGTGCCCCACAAATGTGTTCAGCATATTCTGCTTTTTAGAGGCAAAAATATGCTAAACCTTTTTTCTTCTTTTTTTTTTCTTTACTCGAGCAGTCCCTCAAAGAGAAAGTAGTGGGTATTGCTGCAGGACTGAGACATGCCCTTGCTGCTACAGG